ACGTCACCGTCAATGCCCTCGGCACCGTGGGCGACAGAGCCGGTGGGGGCCAGGCCGCAGTTAGAAGTGCTGGCGGAAGTGCTGCCGCTGTCCCCAGTGCCCGTGGCGGCAGCACCGCCGGCAGCCACACCGGTGGAGGCCAGCCGGACGGTGACAGCAATGGCAAAGGGCAACCAGGCAACGGCAGCCCCGGGGCCGCCGAATGCTCAGTCGCCGAACTTGCGGCAGCACAGCACCTGCACCGCCAGTACGGTCACCTCGGTTACCGCGTGCTGGAGCAACTGATCAGCAAGTAGCTGGTGCAGGGACCACAGGTCACTCCAGCAGCACTACACCAGGCGACGGAGACCGTCTGCGAGGCCTGTGTCACCATGAAGGCCACCGTAACCGCCCATCCCAGCCACAGCAACCGGCCGCAGCATGCACTGGAGGTCGTACACTCTGACCTGTGCGGGCCCATGCCGACCATGGGCCGAGGGGGCGCACGCTACTTGCTGATGCTGCTGGACGGTGCCACCAGTCTGTCCGCCGTCCGCATGCTGGCAAGCAAGAGCCAAGTGGGTGAAGTGCTGCAGGACATGGTGACGCAGCTGGAGGCCCACCACCTGAACCATGCACGGGTGCACATGCTGCACAGCGACAAACGCGGTGAGTACATCGCCGAGCAACTGCGGCAGTGGCTGTGCCAGCACGGCACCGTGCACAACCACTCGGCATCATACACCCTGGAGCAGAGCGGAGCGGTGGAGTGACTCAACCACATCCTCCTCGGCCGTGTGCGGACGATGCTGCACGACACAGCACTCCCGGGCAGCTACAGGCCGGAGGCTGTGCTCTACACCAACCTCCTGCACAATGTTTCCCCCTCTCAGGGCCGGGAGGCCACGCCGTGGGCAGCTTATCACGGCATCCACCCCGACGTCAGCCACCTGCACACCTTCAGCTGCCTGGCCTACGTCCGCATCCCACCCAGCCAGCAGGACAAACTCGGTCCTCGTGCAAAGGCGGAAACCTACCGCCGACCGGAGCACGGCACGGCCACCCACAGCATCCTCATTGAGGGCAAGGTGACCGTGAGCAGCGATGTCACCTTCAATGACGACCGCCACAGCCCGGTTCACAACGGGCGGGCACCCCCTTCGGCACTAGCCCCGCCTGCCCCGGCGGCAGCGACCCCATCGGCAGCTCTACACCGCCCACCAAGCTGCCGACCCCAGCGGCCACCCCACCCCCGGTGACCCCAACACCACCCCTCCACCCCAACACCCGCAGTCAACGGCAGTCCCTGCACACTCCCGCTGGCCCCGGTCAGTGACGGCCCCCCCCCTGACAGCAGCGGCAGCGGCGGTGGCGGAGAGTCGGGAAGTCCACTGCTGCTCAGGTGGTAGTGCTGACAGCGCGAAGTCTAACGTGCCCAATGGCAGTGGCGGCGGCGGAGGCAACAGTGCAGAGCACACTGCCAACGACATGCTGGTGACGGCGGACAACCTGCAAGTGGTCACGGCCACCAAGGCAGCCATCGCCGGTTGCTTCACAGTGCGTGACCTTGGCGAGGCGCACTACTACCTCGGCATGAAGATCGTCCAGGATGGCCGCAACTGCTGCATCGTGCTCACGCATCGTGCGCACTGCACTGCACTGCACTGCACTGCACTATGTGGAGCAGCTGCTGCAGCGCCACAGCCTGGAGAATGCCAAGTCGAGCGCCACCCTGCTGCCTCAGGGCATGTGTGCTCTGCCAGCCAGCAACGCCCAGCCGACAGTGATTGATGGCAGCGGCTACCGTGTGCTGGTGGGCGAGCTGAAATACCTCGCCACCAGCACACGCCCGGACATTACACACACTCTGAGCATGCTCGTGTGACACATGCCCGTCCCCACCAAGGCCCACATGGGCCTCGTGCTGGGCATGATGCGCTACCTATCCGGCACCTGCATACTCGGGCTGCAGTACCGTGGCGACAGCAGCAGCGACACCAGCAACTTCGGCGGGTACAGTGATGCGGACTGGGCCGGCGACCCAGCCACCCGCCGGTCCACCACGGGCTACACATTCTTGCTCGGCAGTGCAGCGGTCAGCTGGAGCAGCCAGTTGCAGCGCACCTTGGCTGCCTCGAGGCCGAGTACCAGGCCGCCACAGCAGCCGTTAATGAGGCACTATGTGGCTGCACAAGCTGGCGGGCGACCTGGACCTGTCACCCGGCGCCATCAACATCCAGCTGGATTCACAAGGCGCGCTCAGCCTCGGCAACAACCCCATCACGTTGGTGCGCTCCAAGCATATCGATGTGCACCACCACATCATGCGGGAAACGGCCGTGCGCGGTGAGGTTAAGCTCAGCTATTGTACCACCAACAACACGGTGGCTGACATTCTCACCAAGGCACTGGGTGAAATCAAGTTCGTGCACTGCCGCACGGTGCTGGGCGTCACTTAGATCGACAGAGCACCATGCGAGGGGGGCGCGGTCCTGCATGATCGTGTGGGGCGCGGTTATTGGTTGGCACCAGAGCTCTATGAGCACGTCAGTTGGAAGGAGTTGCACGCTGTCCATCCTGCATTAGAGTCCTTTCTTCCGTTCTTTCAGCAGTGTGTTGTCTTAATCAGTGTGGAAAACACGTGCACTCAAGCAGTGCTAGGGTGTCTTTCCTAGTCGTGCCGTACTGGACGGCCCAACCTTGGTGGCAACAGTTTATGGAGTTGGCGGTTGACCTTGTGTTCCTGCCTTCGAATACGGAGCTGTTTGTGCCGGATGAGGGAGGGTCGAGCCCCTATCTCCCCCCCTTCCTGGCAGGTCTGGCAGTGCGGGTGCAGTCGTCTTGTGGGTGCTTTGCTTAGCACTCGGTCGGTCAGTGTGGCGCTGCAATTGCGGGGTCGTGTGCCCCCGAGGTGCGCTTTCCTAGCATTTCATGCCCCCCCCGGGGGCTCATAATATCTTGTAGGGCCAATGGGACCTCAATGAGGTAGCGCCTTAATTGCACATTGTGCAGGGGAGCGGACACACAGTTACGATGAGCGAATAGGAAGGAATTTGTTGTGTGAAGGTGTGCGCTCGGAAGGCACCATGCAGGTAGTTGGTTTTTTCATCGTGTTGTGTCACCAGCGACTGGAATTCCCCTGATTTCGGAGCGGTTTCGCTTTGCTTGATATCCGATGGTACCGCCGGTTCCAACACCGCTGGTTCTGGACTAAGTTCGACTACTTCTTTTGGCGCTGAATGGGTTCGTGTGTCTCCATTTCGCGGCCTTGTGTTTGTTGTTGTCGTATTAGGTCTGTGTCTTTCTT